GTTATTTTACTAAGTTTAATAGTAAAAATTCACCTGTTACTAAACTTACTTATAAAAGCTATCTTTGAAATTTTTTTAGTATAATTACTAATAATTTTCTTAATTAAAACTTTAGAATAACTTTATTTTAATATATCATTGTAAAATTAAAAAAAATTTATATTTGATTCAATTCAATCTGATTCGATCGATTTGATTTGATTTGATTTGATTTGACAAATATTTGATTCAATTTGATTTGATTCAATCAAATTCAAATCGATTCAAATTGATTTAATTAAATATTTAAGTTCAATTTGATTTGATTTGATTCGATTTTGAAGAACCCTAATCACAAGTAATAACTAATATATTTCTGAATGTTATGCCAAACTAAGCTTAATGTATAATTTGCTTCTTTTTCTTGTTTACCATTATCTTAATTATAAAATTAGTCTGTTCTGTATATGAGAAGTTTTCAGTATTGCAAACTTCAAACAAATGTACTTTTCAAGAACCTTTAAAAAATATAGGTTCTATTTGTTGTGGTAAATAAGGAACTTGTATATTCTGAGCTAATTATATAGGAATATTTTCAGTAAAATCAAGTCATGAGCATAATAAATCATATGATCTATAATGTAATTTTACTGGAAACACTCCCATATGTAATAAAAGCATTACCTTCAAAAGATTTAAATAAAATTTGAGATCCAATTGTATTTAAATTGCATTTTTCATTCTTAACTGCATTTTAAATATTAATATTATAATAATCATATTCTTCTTTTGCATGATTTAAATATACTAAATAATTTTCAGTAACTGCCAATTTTTTTTATGATTCAAAATACAGTTATCCCCCTCTATAGTCACTTCCTGTACAATCACATCATATAAATCCCTCATTATAAGTACACATTTCGTAAAAACCAATACCAATTAATACAATATAAAAAACCTCATTATAATCACAGTGTTTTTATAGTCACACCCTTTCAGAACCAACGCTTAGTAACAATAAATAAAAATCCCTCTGTATAGTAACTTTTTATTATAATCATACTTTTTATTTTTAGTTCTAAAGGGTGTGACTATAAAGGAAGACGACTGTATACTGAATGTTTATTATTTCGCAGGTTTTATAAAAATCAGACTTTAAAAACATAAACTGAAGTGATAGCATTAGCATTTTTCAGGTATAACAAAAAGTTCTTTCAGCTATTACACAAATTATTTCTTCATATTTATCTTTATGAGTTTGTATATATTCATGATATACTAATGCATAACTACAATTTATTAAAAGAAATACAACTGGCATTGGTATTTTATTAAAATTATATCTAAGCAAAAGTAAACTATATATATCAGCATAATTTTTTAAAAAATTATAAAATTCATATGTCATATCATAATCTATTTTAACATGTTTCATATTTTTTAGTATTCTATTAGTATTACTATATATACGTTCTTCAAGGCTATTTTTCTGTAAATGTTCTATTATATTATCCAAATATTTATAATCAACTTCAATAAGAGTTTAATATGTGATATAATAAATTAGAGTATTATTATTATAACAATATTTGAAGCATAAAATTTTTCTATTATTGGTAGTTCTTTTTTTGTATTTTTATCTTACTGAAAGACTATAAGCTATTTTTTGATAATCATATCCTGCATATTTTTATTTAAACCTTAAATTCTATCTGACGTGTAAAAATTGTTTATAACTAATTTTCTAAAACAATTAGAATTATATGAGCATTTATTATATGAGTATTTATTATTATTAAAAATCTTTTTTACTTTTAATTTCAAATATTCATAAACTTCATCTTTGATAAAATTATCTGAATTTTTTATAAATTTAAAGTTACTCAATTGCATTTTATTAAAATTTTCAATAAAATTTTCTTCAGCATCTTTAACATTTTCAACATTATCAAAATTAGAAATAATTTCACTATTTAATGCACTTTTTTTACTATTAAAACTATAATTTTCAATAAAAATTTATATTATCTAACTCTTCTAAAGTAACTAAAATATTTTTATTTTGCTATTATTATTAAAATAAATGTTATATTCCATATTATTTAATAAAATAATTGACTTGTAAAAATGTTAAAATTGCACTTTTATTACTAATATATTATAGATAAAAAAAACATATTTTTCAAATAGTTAAATCTATAGGCATATGATTATTATAAAATCTAAAATTATGTGATTGGTTTAAGCCTCAGCTTTTGCTATGCGGATTCCTATTTATTATTAAAAATAAAAAAATTTTTTTTTAATAATAAGTATATTCTAAAAGTTAGAGTAAACATTTATTATTAAAATAATAATTTTCATTTTAGAAATCAAAAGCAGAAAATTGTTAAGAGAGACAGTTATAATATTTTTTTTTTTGCAATATAATACTATTCTGAATATTAGAAGCATATTATTGTTAATAATAATAATAATATATTTTTTTTAATAATAATGCTATTACAAATATCAAGAGCACATTATTATTAAAAAAATAATAATTATATTTTTTTTTAATAATTTACTATCATTTCAAATATTATAGATGAATTATTATTAAAAAAATAATAATTATATTGTTTTTTAATTATATACCACCATTCTAAATATTAAAGGCATAAAATTGTTAAAATAACTATATATTTTTTTTGTTTTTAATAGTAATATATAGCTTTGAATATTAGAGATATTGTATTATTTAAAATAATAATAATAATATTTTTTAAATATAAACAACATTTTGAATATTATATGCAGTATTATTACTAATAAAATGTTGACTTATATATCATAGGCTATTTATATTATTAAAAACAAAATTTTTTTAAATCTATCAAATTTAGATTTAGATATAGATATATAGATATAGATACAGATTTGTCAAATTCAGATTGAATTTAGATTTGAATTTAACAGATCTGTCTGATTTGAATTTAAATTAAATCAGATATAAATATTTCAGATTCAGATTGAATTAATATTATCTAAGAAAAATCATATTATAATTTATATTGAAAATATCTAAGGGCTTTAGTAAATGATATAATTAATATAGCTAATATAATAAATATGGGTAATATACTATTAAAATTGAGATACAGATTATATGATTTACTATGTCTCATACCTCAATTTTAATAGTATATCACCTATATATTTAATATATTAGACAAATATGACAAATAAACATATATAATATAATATATTAATTTTATCTTTCTATATATTTATTTTATATAAATAATTAACTTAAAAATATATTAAATATGAAAAAATTTATAAGTTAGTTTTAATAATATAAAGATTATTGATCTATCATATCTTTTTTAATTTTTTTTTTAAAAATTTTTCTTTATTATTTTCTTCTTATCTTTCTATTATTTTTTATTAATTTTTATTATTTTTATTTTATATTATCTAATTTTATGAATAAATATATTTTTAAAATATAATTACTTTCTAGAATTACATATTATTATTACAATTAAAATAACTAAATAAATATTTCTATATTTCTTTAAAAATCTAGGCTAAGTAAAGTTTACAACTAATATAAATATTGTTACTTAATTAATAAATTACCACTTAAATATTTTGTATAATTGTTATAGTCTGTTATTATATCTAAAAATTTATTGTAAAATACTATTAATAAAATAATATATAAAATCTAATTTTTATCTACAAATAGTATTTAAAATATGCAGCTATTTTGATATTTTTAATCTATTTTATATAAAAATTGCATTTTTTATTATAATAAACAAGTGGTGTTAGAGCTGTGAATTTGAAGGTTTTTTTTTAAAAAATTGGAGTATCAGAAATGAGAAGATTAAAGTTATTTCTATATACAAAGTGACCTAAATTATATAATAGGTTTTATTTCATATATAATTTTAGGTATTTTTAATAGTAATATCTTAAACTTATAACAGTTTACTATTTTTAATAATTCAATTTAAATATAATAATTTTTTTAAAATTAATTTTTTTATATTTTTTAAATACTACAATAAAATTATAAATTTATTATTTAATTTTATAATAATATATAATTATAAGTAAATACTAATAAATATATAAATCACATTCTTACAATCTAAAAACAATAATTTTATAATATATCTTAAAAATCATGTTACAAATTATAGGAAGTAAACATCATTTTTTAATGATTCAATCAAAAATTCAGGGTTAGTTTTCATGAGAGCCTTTAGATTAGATTTTCTTCTCTATTTTTGTCTTGATTAAAAGATTTTTACTTCAAATATTTTTTCATAAATACAAAGGCTGTCTCGATAAATCAGATCATCTATAAACCGGATAATAATAAATGCTCGTTTTTTGAAATTTTATTATAAGCACTATCGCAAGTAAAAACAAAAACCTTTTACATAAAAAAATATTATATTGTGATCGATCTTCTTTTATATTATAAACCATTTATTTAGAAAATTCCTTAGTATAAAATTTTTTATACAATATTATTAAACTATTAAATAAAATATAAAAAAAATTGTTTATAAAAATATATGAAAACTAGATTAAAATAATTTTACTAGAACTACCTCTTGGTAAAGTTAAAATATATCATCATCAATAGTCCATTTGCCTTGCCCGCTGCCTTCAACCTTTTCTTTACCAGCACGATTACGCTCTTTCCAATATTCGTGATTAAATTCCCAATATGATTCACCAGTATCTCTCTCAATTTTCTTTGTAAACCATCTCGGAACAAAATCGTTAATTAATTTTTGTTCTCTCTTCTTTCTCTTTTCTCTTTGCTTCTCTTCTAATCGTACTTTTTCAATGCTAGCTAAGTCATAATTACCTAATTCCATAGCTCTTTGATCAGGTCTCATTCGACTATCAGAAGGAGCTATCCAAGGTACTAAACTGTCAGGTAAATCATTTAACGTTATGGCAAAGGGAGTTAAATTAAATGGTATAGGTTCTTCAGGTGTAGGAGATTTTTTCCATAATAGAATAATAGGTCTCTTGCTTGTTGGTGTCGTTGGTGTCACAGGCACTCCTCCGGCTAAATTATTACTACTTTTACTATATCCCGTAGTATGTTGATAAGCATGTTCAGCAGCTTTATCGCTACCCAAATCGACTTCATTTGTATTATTTAAATTAACCCCACAACATCTAGCGACTAATCTTTCATTCCATTTACCGGCAATTTCCCAAATTTCCTTGTCAACTTCACCATCCTTCACATAACCTCTAATTTCAAAAGCGTCTTTGCCTCTCCAACCTCTTGCTTTGAAAGTGAGCACACATCTATCACCAGTTAAATGATTTGTTATAATCATATCACCATAATGATCTATCCACGGTGTACCAACAATTAAATTATTTACACATGTAGTAACTTTTTTCCATGAATAATGTTCCATAAATGCTGATTCTTTACCATTTGCTGGTTTCTTTAATGTATCAGATAAAGATTTTGGCCAATAATCATTTGATACTTTTAAATTTACGTGTGATACACCTTGCGGCAATATTTCAAATGACTTTCCCCAAAATTTTGATTTTACATTTACCTCTGCAAAAAAATCATAATTCGGAGATTCACAATAACACGCACTTATAGGCTAAACGACATATAAGTATATTAACAAGGGAAGGGAGTTATACAAGAATGAATTTATTAGTATTTATGCTAGTACACTGTTTTCTTAACTATTTTTCGTGATACTTACTGGATGATGACTAACTTGTTCCGAAATGTATCTAAATGCTTTATCAGGTCTAACATATTCGTATGTCTCTCCCTAAAAAAAGTGATTTTTTTTTAAAAAAAAAAAAAAAACCTAGGAACTAAACTATTTTGTCTATTTTTTACTTACCAGCAACGGATTAAATGGTTTAGCAATTCTACCAACAGTACTAGAATAATTACTCATAGCAAAAGCAGCAACATATAAAATCCTTTCGGTACTACTTTGTTGTCTACTAGCAACATCTAATATTTCACTATATTCCATATCTTCAGCCATACGCTGTAACATACTAGTAGGTTCATTAAAATAAACAGGTAATGTAATTTTACTTAAATCTTTTCCTATGCTATTTTTCAATATATTCCATAATGATACTTCAGGTCTCAATGATTTTTGATCTAATGGCAATCTATCTCTAATGCGATCTGGATATCCTGAATATGAATTAGATATGTAAGGCTGCAGTGAGGTGGGACCAGGTGGACTAACCCCTTCTAAAGACACTTTTGTAGCTAGCTTATGAATATCTTCATTAACCGAACCACCATCATCAAATGCATCATAAAATTCATCATCTGAACCATATTCATCCGCCAGAGACTTTGAAGAAGCCAAATTATAATGTTCAGATTGAACTTGATGTTGTAGTTGTTCTAAATTTGTTTTAATAGATAACCCTTCGGTAATAATAGATAAATCCACACTTCGCGAAATTTGTGCACTTCTTTCCAATTCCACCTCGCTAGATTGTTGAATGCATGTTTTTAGAGCCTTGAGAGAACCTTCTGCCGAGCTTGTAGTTGGAGACATCAATTTTAATTGTTTCTTTCTCAATTTTTCTTCTTTAACATTATCTTGTATAATTTGTTCCATTTCGTTACGTTCAATAAACAAATCTTTCATACTTTGTTCCCATAATCTTTTGATTTCTAATTCTTTCGATAACTTTTTATTCCAATATTCTTCTCTTTCTTCTGTCATTCTTAAAATTTCTTCAACAAAATTTTGTAATAAATTTAATGATTTACTGAACGTTTCCAATAATGCTACTTCTTTTGTTTCATTTAAACCATCTTTTAACGAGATTCGTGATGGTAATATCGTAAATAATGATTCTAATAATTGGTTTTGCAAAGAAAATTGTGCTTTTGCTGAACTGATTGTCATTTGATATGAATCTTCATATGGTATTGTTTCTACTTCTAAACTATCATCTGATGGTGATCTTGATCTTGAAGTTTGTTCATTATTTTGTTGAGAAATACTTTCAGTTCTCCCAACTCTAACATCATCTCTTATTTCCTCTCCTCCGGGTTTAATTTCTCCTGTTATATTACGTGAAGTGGGAGAAATTATTCCTCCATCTTCAGTAGCTAAACTTGCTCTTCGAATTTGTTGTTGTTGCCATTGAATGGATTGATCTAAAGCAATGGTCCATTTTTTTGCTTCAGATGGATGATTAGCTCTCAAATGATATCTTACACTTCCTTTCCCTATGATATCGAATCTTTGTCTATCAGAAGAATCTATAGATACTTTTGCTATTTTCATATTTATACTACCTCTACATGAATGTCCTGTATCATCTTGATTTTTAAAATATGAAAGAATACCGTTTTCTAATACGAACCATCTATTTTTATATCCACCAGCATAATTTGTCCATTTATTTAAATATCCTTTCAATTTTGGTGGTTGATTAGATTCCGGTGCAGTAATGATTGATGTTGTGGCTGTAATATTTTTTAACAATAATTTGATATTTTCATCTTTCGTTACTTCTATTGCCAACTTTCCCTTACGATCTCTTATACTTACGTCTGCTCCATGTTCAATACAAAATTTTACCATGTCTACATCCCTTTTACGTGCGGAATCGTGTAATAATGTTGCCCCCGTAGAAGGATCTTGATGATTTAAGTCTACTAATGCTGCTGCTCTTGGATCTGAAAATAAACTATGTAATCCTGAATAATTTGAATCCATTACATACTGTTTAAACAAAGATGCCGAATGCTCAACAAATTCGTCCCTATTTGCTATTATGGAGAAAGGATAATTTTTAATACCGAATATCAAATATCTAAATTTAAAGTTCCCAAGGAATTTTCACGTTACCTTGTAAAATATCAGCAATTTCCTGATTTTTAGCTAAATCAATAATTTGTTTACCATCCACATTCACTATAGTATCATCAATATTTTTTTGCTTTAATAATAATTCAATAACATCAATTCTACCCCCTTTTGAAGCATAATGCAATGCTGTGTTTCCTAAATGATCTTTTTGATTTATATCAATATGTTTGCCTAAAAAGTTCGCTATAATAAATTCTATCGTATTGGTTGAGGCACATTGAACTCCTAATATTAACGGTGATGGTGAATTATGTTGTGAGGTGAAAGAAGCACTGGTGCTGTTGATTGAATTTGGCGTTGAGGGAGCTAGAGGTGTATATGTTGATATTATTGCCTGTAATGCTGTTGTGTCTCCTGTTTACACACAACATATTTGAAGAAATGACATTAATTAAATGAGGAAATTATAGGATATGATGATCTCAAAGTAAATTATTTTCTTCAAGAAATTTACCTGTTCGAAGCGCTTCTAATAATTTATAAGTTTTCAACGATTCTTCAACAGCTAAAAATTAATTAAAAAATAAAATAAAATAAAATAATAATAATAATAATAAAAAGAATAAATTTCTCTACTAAAAAAAAACAAGGGAATAATATTCCTAAAATTATCACCTGCATTGGAATTTTTTGTTGATATCCTTAAACTTGGAACTGAAACTCTTCTTGTCAGAGGTTCAGCTTGCGGTGATGTTGTCATTATTAATTTGAAAGAGATTTATTTATTCGAGATGATTAATAAATTTAAATAAGGTCGATATCAAACATAACTTTATATAAAGTCAAATATCATTTAAATAAATAAATATATAGAGTATTTAAAGGAAGAAATATTCGAGCTCTTAACTGCATTTATTTTTTTTTCATGAATGGCTTATAAATAAATATCAATCTAAGCCACTTTGATCGTCTTTAATCATATCGATATGAATTTTGTGTATTTATTTATATATAACCATTTAAAAAAATTCTCGTAAAAAAAAAATAAATTTGAATAAAAAAAAATAAACCGTCAAATTCTCATTTTTATTTAGATTAACATTTGATAGCTTTTATCATTTAAAAATTTTAAGAATTATAAAATTTAAAATTGTTTGATGATTAAACCATTACCCGCAGAATTTTTTTTTATTACGTAGCACAATTTAACCAATCATGTATAAACTATTTTTATAAAATAAAATATAAAATACAATACTTTTCATTAAAATAGTTTAATTTAATTTCATCATGAGTTTCATTAAATTTTTAAAATAAGTTTTGTTATATTTTAATAGCATTATTAACTAAGAGAATTTTTTAATAAAATTTTAATTTTTATTGCATTTTAATCTAATATTATCAAAAAATTAAAATGCAATAAAAATTAAAAAATTCTCAGTCTCATTTTCTAGCAAACCTTCCATATTATTATAATTATTTTTATTTAGTATTACTATATAAATAACATATGTTTATTATTTATAGAAATGCTAAAACTTAGTAAAAATAATTTTGGAAAAAATTAATTATAATAAAATTTATAATTGATAAAATTTAAAATTTATTAAATAATTTTAATAAGTATTATAAAATAAATTGTCATAGACAATATATGCTATTAATTATATATACAATGACTTTTAAAAGGAATGCAAACCAGAATTTCTTACCTTTAAAAGCTTATATTATCAATTACAATTGCTAGAATATGATTTTTAAATCTCAAAATCTAGAAAATATTCATTAAAATTTGAAATATGATTATTAAGACCAATTTTATAATTTAGTTTAGGATTAACTAATAGATATTGGTTTAATAGATAAATTTAATAGATCTATGAGAAACATTAGATCTATTGAGATTATTAATTTAATTTGCTAATTTATATAAATTTATTTATTTTAAAGCTTATATATACTAGGATTTCGCAATTCGATTTGATATTTGAATATTCAATTTGAAAATCAAATCAAATACAAATTTAAATTAATAATTGATTCGATTTGATTAAATTCAAATTAAAGAAAAAATTATTTGATCAAATATGAATTAATCTTTGATTTGATTTGATCAAATACAAATTAATTTTCAAATATTTGATTTGATTTGCAAATTGTATACAAGTATTTTTTACTAATATTTTAATATGGTTGAAGCTTTTTATAGCAAATTTTAATTTTTAGAGAATATAATTCGTTATAATAAGAAAATTCAGAAAGTTATACTAAATTATTTATTATATTTATTATATGGGAAGTTTGCTAGGAAAATGGGGTTCTGAGACATTTTTTAAAAAATAGAAATTTTTGATACATATTAATCTA